AAAGCACAATGTTGGCGGAAAAAAAAAGGAAAATAAACTCATGAACACGTAATAGCGTTAAAAAATTGTTTTTTTGTTTGTTTTTTTTTTAAATAGAAATAAAAATATATAAGCATATTAAAATTGTTTTTTTTTTAAAAAAATAATATAAAATGTCGAGAAGTGCCTTACGTGCAATAGTCGTTTAGATGTTCTGGAAATCTCACCCTTCTTCCAGAACGCGTCGTTTTAAGTTTATTTTCGGATACTGTCGAAGTATCATCGTGTGTGTTGGTTGTCGGATGAGGTATTATAAGTGTCGGAGTCGTGTCGTTCAATTGTACCGAAGGAAAATCCACGTAGATAGGATTTCCTTCTAAATACGCTGCTTTTAAGCGATCGATACTGATGCTATCGTTGGTTCCGTTCTTATCGACTATATAGTACTTAGATTCACGTTGAAGAACTTTGAAGGGTCCTTCGTATGCTGATTCGAAGGGTCGTCGATGCGAGTCTCGACGAACGAAAACGTTTGTACTATATCGTAAGTCAGGTTGAACGAAAACATCAGTTGATTGAGGTCGGGTGGAAGCAGGTTTAACTGAACGCATTGCGTTTGTAAGCCTGTTCGTGTAGGAGGTTAGATCCATGTTCATTGAAGAGGATGAAGGATCCACGAATTCTCCTGGAAGTCGAAGTGTCGTTCCATAAACGAGTTGAGCCACAGTGTATCCAATGTCAGCTTTCATTGCATTGCGGATACCTAGTAAGACGAGTGGAACAGCGTCGGTCCACTGTGAAACGTTTGTAGCTGATAGCGAAGCTTTCAGTTGTCGGTGAAAACGTTCTACCAACCCGTTTGCTTGTGGATGGTAGGCGGTCGTTCGGAAGCGAGTGCTTCCTAAAAGAGTGGTCAGATGACGGATAAGATCAGATTCAAATTGACGTCCGCGATCTGTAGTGATGGTTGAAGGGCAGCCGAAGTTTGCTACCCATCGTTCGACGAAGGTGCGAGCCACTGTTTCAGCAGTGATGTCCTTGATAGGTACTGTTTCTGGCCATCGAGTGAAACGGTCTACGCAGGTTAAGAGATAAGAGTATCCATTTGAATCTGGTAAAGGTCCTACCAAATCCAGATGAACATGGTCGAAACGAGCATCGGGAGTTTTAAACGAGCCTAAGGGACATTTATTGTGTCTGATAACCTTAGATTTTTGGCAGCTTACACAGGAGCGTGCCCACTCCCTCACGTCTTTATTCATTCCAGGCGAGCAAAACCGTTTTGCTATAAGCTTGATGGTTGCACGAACACCTGGATGAGAAAGTTTGTGCAATGTATTGAAGACATTGCGTCGATAATGTTTCGGCACGATTGGGCGATCCCTACCTGTAGATGTGTCACAAAGTAAGGTTTCCTTACCTGTTCCCATCTGTTTGATGCGTAGTTTAAGGGTTGTGGACGATAACTCGTGCTGAAGATCACTGTCTTCTTTTTGAAGCTCGGCGAGTTTAAGAAGGTCGATTCCTTGGAAACTGTTCAAGGAAGTTATGCGAGATAAAGCGTCTGCAACTAGATTGTTTGCTCCAGAGATGTGTTGAATATCTGAAGTAAACTGCGAAATGTAGTCCAGTTGTCGAGACTCACGGGGAGAGTACTTGTCAGAAGGAGAGCTTAACGAGAAAGTGAGCGGTTTATGGTCCGTGAAAAGAGTGAATTCACGACCTTCGATGTAGTGTTGGAAATGCCGTACAGCACAATACATAGCTAGGAGTTCCCTACCGAATGTGCTGTACCTCGATTCGGTGTCTAGCAACCTTCTAGAGAAAAATGCCAAGGGTTGCCAGGAGTTGTTAACCCATTGTTGTAAGACTCCTCCGATTGCTGAGTCGGATGCGTCTACTGCGATGCTAATGGGTGCTCGGGTGTCCTGATGTGCGAGCATTGTTGCTTTAGCAATCAGTTCCTTAACTGTGGAGAATGCTTTTCGTGCGGTGTCGTCCAAATTAATGGATTTCGTATTTCCACGAAGTTGGTCGGTCAGAGGTTTCATAAGTAATGCGCATTTGGGTATGAAACGTCTATAGAAACTTACCAGGCCGTTAAACGTGCGTAATTGCTTGACGGTGGTCGGTTCTGGGTAATCCGGAATGGCCGCCACTTTGGTTCTAAGAGGTCGAATGCCTTGAGCATCTATAGTGTGTCCTAGGAAGTCTAACGAGTTGGTTCCGAATTGGCATTTCTGAACGTTTACAGTTATGCCATGTTTTTGAAGTCGTTCGAAAACAAGATCCAGATGCTTGAGATGTGATTCTCTGTCCGGACTTGCGATTAGACAGTCGTCAACATACGCGTGTACGAAGTTGAGACCTCGAAAAACGTCGTCTATGAATCTTTGGAATGTTTGAGCAGCATTCCTTAGACCGAAAGGCATTCGCAAAAATTCATAGAGTCCGAAGGGAGTTATGATAGCCGTTTTCGGTATGTCGTCAGTAGCCATAGGGATTTGGTTATACGCTTTAACCAAGTCGATTTTCGAAAAGACAGTTGTACCTTTCAAGGTAGCTGTCAAATCGTGAATGTGAGGCAACGGGTAACGATCGGGAATGGTTTTCGCGTTCAATCGCCGATAGTCACCAGTTGGACGCCAATCGTTGCTGTCCTTTTTAGGGACCATGTGCAACGGAGATGCATATGGGCTACTTGACGGTCGTATGATTCCTAAGTCCATCATGTGATCGAATTCGTTTTTCGCTAACCTTAGCTTTTCAGGAGCTAGTCGGCGTGCTTTAGAAAATACAGGTGGTCCTGTAGTCGTGATGTGATGTGTAACATTGCTGGTTACACACGGTAGTTTCGTTTGAGTTTGTTGTATCTCAGGGTAATTATCGAGTAGTGGTTGATAGAGTGGGTCTATCATATGTTTAACTGTGACTGGGGATACTCTACAACCAGTAAAAGAAGTTACGCAAACGGACAAATTAGTGTTTCCGTCTACTAGCCTCCGTTTGCGAGTGTCGATGATCAGATTGTGGTGTTGTAGAAGGTCCATACCAATGATTGGCATAGAAACATCTGCAACAACGAAAATCCAGTGGATGGGTTTGCGTAAACCCACGTTAAGGTAAACGTACCTTTTGCCATACGTAGCGATCGGTTTTCCATTTGCCGCCTGTAAGTTAAAAGCCGACTCCTGAAGCCGGTCGTTAGGATTTGCTGGGAGAACGCTAACTTCTGCGCCAGTGTCGACGAGGTAACGAACTCTCGTTGTCACATCTGTGACGAATAACAGACGGCTTTGTTCGCCGGCTACGGTTGCCGTTAACGCGTGCCGGCTTGGAAGTTTCCCGAATTGCTTTTCGAATCAGTCGGTTTCGTGTTGGGAAAATTGCAGGGTTTTCTGCAATTTCTGGAAGACTTTCCATACTGGTTATGATACCAACACCAGTCGGGGTTATCTGTCTCTCGTGGTCTAGAGACAGATCGCTTACGAGAAATGCTTCTACGTGGTGTGCGCGATCTCTTACGGTCGTTACGAAGACTAAGATAACGCGTGAGTGTGTGACATAAGTCGTTTATATCATTCTGAGTCGTTTGAGGTTTTTCTTTGACTGAAAATACCTCGGTAGTAGATTTCGTAATTTCTAATATGCGGTCGGCAGATGCAGCTAGCTCGTCTAAGGCGTTGTTCTGGAACGAGACCAGAACTGCTTGCACCTGTTGAGGAAGTTTTGACAAGAAGAGTTGTTTGAATAGGCCTTCGTCGAAAGTTCTTGGGCCTATTACCTCTCTCATCCGTTGCAACATGTCTGTCGCAGAACCGTGTTGCAGGTCGATATTGTTGAAGAGTTGATCTAACCTTTGTCGATCGGTTAGGTCTCCTCGTTTAAGAATCGAGCGTTTTAAGATTTCGTAAGGATCGGAAACATAACTAGTAAACATACTAGGTGTTACGTACCTGTTGAATTCGCGCGGTAGTGCCTTGACTACTGCGAGGAATTGTGCACGTGTGTCGATCACGCCGTGCTCGGAGAAGTCGGCTTCTGCGTAGCAAAACCAGGCTTCGATGTTGTCGGGCCAGAAAGGCATCAGTTGAAACGAAGGCGGGGACAAAGTCTTAAGCTTGAGTACTTTAGGTGTCTGTTCAGTCATGATGAAGTATGAAGTACGATAATGAACAAGGGGAAAATATATATATCCAGGAAAAAACACGAAAAAAAAATCACAATGTTTAAAAAAGTTAAAAAAAGTAAGGCAATGATATATAAAAATCCCAAAAAGGAACAGACTCACAGTTGCAATTAGGTGTACCAGATCACGTCGGTTTCACCAATGATGATGTCACAGGTATTCAGTGTTTGACAACGCTTTTACCAGTAACACCTTCTAATATATTTCGTTCCCGCCCAGAGAAATCAAAAGACAGAGTCGAGGAGATCGGAAGAGTATATTTGGCGATGACCAATATATCGGAATTCTCTGATCTAATCTGGCTAGCGATTGCGGTTGATGTTGAGCACGGCGTTACCACACGTGATCTGGTGCGGATGACTGACCGAGCGCCTTCAGCTAGGTGAGCCCACTAAAACATATGGTCAGCATCCAATGTCGAAAACTTAGTGCTATTTATTTTGGGGATTTATTTACCGCTACAGGTTTAAGACACAATATGGTCACAATGTGAACACGAGTGTCAGTCAATGAGTAAAAAGCGTTCCACAGGACAAAGTTTAGCAAAAATTTCAAACCTTAACCAAAGTACTTTTAGTTAAAATCGGCCAAGAATGCTTTTTGGTGCAACAAGTACACAAAGCAAGGATAATCAAGACAAGTACGAAAATCACTGCCCTTTATGGAAATCACTGTAGAAACAATTATCGCCTTTCCAAAGTTTACATCAGGAGAGAACAATTAGAGGGATAAATTTTTACTCTTAAGGATCAGCTTCAGTAGCCTATATGTAAATTTCAACAGACGAACAGAAGCCTATTTCTGATACGAATTGAGTTTTGGATTTGGTGGTGGGAATTTCGACATTACTAGGTCAGTTCGTGTTATGCAAAATGGTGCAATCTAACCATAGTATTTTACCTATTATTTCTGCTTGTGATGAGTCCTCTACAGAGCAAAAAGCGAAAAAAGATCATTTCCTTTCATTACGTAATATCTCTCACATTTGTTTCATATCAGTGATTGTTCTGAAGTTATATGGAGAATATTTCACTAGTACATGAGACATCTTGAAAATCAGTTCTTATAGATATTGTTCTGGCGTCATGGGGATACATTACGGTCCTCTTCATGAATTCAGAGATACAGACAAGTGATTTCAATACTTCCCAGCTAGCATTAACCGGGACCCTGGAGGCAGTCTCGTAGCTCTCCTGGCAGTTTCGTGAACATATAATTTTCTTCGAAGTAGCCTAAAGTGCTTCGGGTGCTTCGAGGGTCCCCTGATCTTATGCTAACTGGGCTTGAGCTGTGCTTATTTAATACTGTTGTAGGTTTTTTCGATCTCTCATACCGGAAGATTTGCATTCCCTTATCCGTCGTTTCACTCTCACATCTATGTTTAGTTCAATACTCTTTATGGAACCAGGGTTTTTATAATGTGTAAGCTTTTATTTTTTCGACAGTAACGTTTACAGTTTCCTATTGCAGCCTTCTAGTTCTGTATCAAGTCTACCACTGAATTTCTGGTATATTTTCATCTCCGATTGCTCTTTAAAACTGTTGTCGATATTTATTAAAAGCGTATCTTTGTTGTGCCTGTCTAAAACACTTGATTGCTACTCTATGGTAGGTTGGTTTAATCTGTCCGTATGATATTCCTGGTACTCTTTATGGGTTGACAGTTCGAGATATTGAATATTTTATCTTTTTCTTATTTTCACGTTACCCAGTTTCATTGGACACTGTTAGTCACGCAGGGTTTTTAGTTATTCGAAAGTCGGAAATGCCACTGGCTTCAGGGTTGCTTTAACTACATCTCAAATATATTGTATTTGCATAAACAACATGAGGCTTAATATCTTCATCACTGGACGAGTGTGTTGATACTATAAAGAACAGAGTATTCGTAAAATGATACTTAATAAGTCAATGGCATTCACATTTATGTGGGATCAATGGATATTTATACGTCTCTACCCGTTAAAAACTTATGATACTAAGCCGTCTGTGACCTTTTTTCGAAAGACCTGTTCGCCAAATCCCCTTCATTTGTCGGATTATGTAGCCTTAGTTCATCCACCGTTGTACTTTTACCTTATACTTTGTGTCTTGATGTGCTAATAACCTAATTGTGTATAGACTTCGTCACTGCGTTAAAACGTAAGAACCTGTAGTTTCTTACAAAAAGTGAAGGTAGTATCATGTCAACTTGAAAAGATATGGTCTTCGTGAACTCAATATTGTTGTATTATCTTCTCTATAGTATCAAAAAATCAAATATACAGAACTCAGTAGAGAAAATATTTTCGAAGGAATCATAGAGTGGGTTTCATTCTGTAGCTTATCGACTCAATACACTATGCATTACTCATCTGAAAGCACCTCTGGTTTTCCCTTAACTTAGTACTACTCAGTCAATGGTTCTACGACCTACAACTCTGTAATCAACTTTTAGCTCGTATTTACATTAAACTACTTTCTGCGTAGAGTCTAGTTATGGTTACTCACTGTGAAATCTAAGTAAAGTGGGTTTTAGACTTATTACCAACTGGTTACAACCCGAATGGTCAAACTTCTAAGTCACCACTCTTTCCAAGTTATTAGTGAGTAACGGCGCTGTTGCACATCATAATTAAGTTCATTTGGAAAGAGTTCTCATTAATATCGGATGGGATGGCGAAGATTTATTGACTTTAAGAAACTTCATGAGAGCAAATTTTTAAATGGCTTTAAAAACTTTTCCATAGAGAAAGTGGACTAGAACTCTCGTTATAGTAGTCAATCTTAACCCGTATGTTGGGGTAATGGTTGTCAATCTGACCGTAATATATACTCTACAAACTACAGTCCCATTGCTGTAATGTGATAAAATAATGGTCTCAGGTAATCCAGAATTGTTTAATAAATTCTTTCCTGCTACACGTCAATTAGTAAAGTAGTAAGATTCAAGAACTTTTATGACCTTAACTAATGTAATGCTTGTAGGCGGAATGTTGTTATTGTGTGTTTTCTTCATTCTTATACAACCAATCGGCCTTGGTTGTGTTTCGACGGTCGTTTGACTTCCATAACTGATTGAGTTAAGGTGTGTTATTTAAAAAAATTTCTAAGTCCTTCATCCAGTGAAATAATTTGTCAGTTTATGATACAACTACTTGATATCATTCAAGTTATCTATATAAAGTAGTACTGATTTCTTGTGTGCTAACAACGATTATTACATGCACTTCAAAATTTGCACTAGCGGTAAACTTGACAGTATTGACTTTCGTCATTAAAACAGTCGGTCAAAAAACTTGACACGAATAAAAAAAGTAGCATTTTAAAATTTTCTAACCAAGCATTTAGTGGTCCCTTCATGGCGTTGAGGTCATTCACACCCAAATACATTTTATGACTATAGAATCAAGATAGAGATAGTTTTCGTTACTTCTTGTCGGTCTAATAACCTTGCTGTTAGATATATTTATTTATCTATTTGAACACATAAATATTGGTACAAGAGAGCGCCAGTATATATGCGCCACACAAAACAATGAGAATGCGAAGAGAAATAGAAAAAGAGAACAATAACGAAGAGATTGGTGTAAGGTAGTGTGGTAGTAACGAGGTACAATCAGAAGAAATCTTTCAGGTAAGGGAGACACAACCACTTTTTATGAAGAAAGTAAAAGAAGGTTACAGCAGGATCGCCACTGGCTTCTATTCTGAGCCATATCTGATAACGTCTCTAGCCACTGCGTAGCACCATCTCTCGGACCCCAACCAGGGAGTCGTAAAGGACCGACAGAAGCCAGTCCTTTGCAGCTTTCTTTCATACCACGACACCATGTCATACACTGACCACCTCTCCGCTTCTTCCAACCAGTCCCAGAGTCGGCAAATAATGCACGACGTGGAATTCTCTGGGACGACATTCGGAGAACATGTACAAGCCACCGAAGTCGGTGTTTCAAGATGGTGACACCAATTGCATGATCGTCTATGTGCCCGAACACACGATACCGAACCTCTGCATTACTGACATAGTGTTGCCACTGAATGTCAGCAATCCTTAGGAGACAGCGATGATCGAACACAGAGAGTCGTCTAACGTCCTCAACTCGGAGAGGCCAGGTTTCACAAGCATAGAGCAAAACTGCTCTCACCGACGCGTTGTAGATCCGACCTTTTACAGCCAGACTAACATCACGAAGGCGTCAAAGATGGCCCAGATTGGCATAAGCCGCTCTGGCTTTCACTATACGTGCATTGATCTCATCAATCACACCACCACCAGCACTTATGCAGCTACCCAGATACACCAACTTCTCGACTACTTCTATCTGCTCACCATCCAGGGTGAGTACAGGATTGGAATCCTGCCAGTCTTGTAGAAGTACTTTGCACTTCGAAGGCGCGAAGCACATACCATACCTACGGACACTGATTGTCAACTGATTAAGTGCGGATTGCATGCCTTGGGCATTATCGCACAGTAAGACAATATCGTCCGCATACTCAAGGTCGAGAAGTCTTTCTCCAGGCAACAGATCCACACCACCATCACTTACATTCATCAGAGCTGTTTTCAGAACGTCATTGGTGCCAAAATTGAAGAGGAATGGTGAGATTGGGCAGCCCTGTCTAACCCCACTGCTCGAATGGAACCATGGAGAGAGGTGGTTGTATGCCCTCACTCTGCCTGAGGTGTTTGTATATAGGGCTTTTAGGATGTTAATAAACTTCTCAGGCACACCCTTCTTCAAAAGACGATCCCAGAGAACAGCCCTGTCCAACGAATCGAAGGCAGCCCTGATGTCAAGAAACACTACGACTGTTGGCCTTTGATAAGTATGGCGGTGTTCTAACATTTGGCGGAGGGTGAAGATATGATCAATACATCCTCGACCAGAACGAAACCCAGCCTGCTCCTCGCGAGTCAATCTTTCTCGGGTTTTGAACAACCTACGAAGTATGACGGGAGCCAATAGATATATGAGGTTTAGAGCACACAACATCTTCCGCTAGCTGGTTGTTGTGTAAATGCACATACATTCTAGTCACTGCCTTCTCGTGGTGCGAAATTGAGAGGGCGAAAAGCCGGCACTTTATATGAGTTGGTGGATACGGAGGACCCACTTAGGGGAGTTAGAAAACTCTGATTCCAAACCAATGGTGTACATGGGCTCCGGGATCATAAGGAAACAAATGGCGTACGAACCTATTGTTGGTCACAGGCTACCATGGGACTGCATCTGCTTACGTTGCTCCACTGCCTTATGGATTAGACCTTTAGGTCTAAGGCTCGGGGTGTAGCCTCCTAAGAAAGCCACCTGCTTCAGTTTGGGCACCCGAGCAATATTCCAGCTCTTGCACAAATTGAGTTATTTGTGTGGCGCATATACATGTGGTGACTCCTTGTACCAATGTTTATATGCTTATATAAACAAATAAACATTCTAGTCATGTTTGTCCAACTTTTCATACATTCTGGTATCCATTTTACGCCATTTTCGTTTCAGGGTTCATTACTCTGTTTTTTGGAATATATATTTTTATTCCTAAGACACATACCACCTGGGATTCTGTGGATATATTTCCTGGTAGAATTAAATTGGAAACTACAGGGCATCTTAGCTGGGAGAATATTTGTATGCTTATTATACTGTATTTTAAAAGTGAGTTACATCTTAACACTCAATTATATAAGTGTTTTATGTAATGTTAAACGTTTTTAACACTCGTGGAAACACTGTTCACATATTAATTTTATAACATGTGTTAGTCACTGACGGTTGATTCTTATTGCGTGTGATAAGAAATCAGTATTCACAGTGTTAGTTTACTATAAGTAAACGTGAATGTCAGACTTATCATCCTCTTGGATTCCAAGTTTATGATAACCATAGTATAGTTTATGTTACCCAGCATGATTGGATTACATTGGTTGTGTTTCAATCCTTTTGATGTTATTCTTCAAAATCAAAAAAAGAATGTACATTGTCATAGTTACCCTATTGCTCTTAATGGTTTATTGTGGCAGCTTTCTGTCGTAGCTTAATTTGGACATGATGATGTCAGATGCAGTTAGAGGTATGATGGCAGCTGTCACCTCCTGCTTGCCCACACCGTGGAAGGATATTTCTTAAGATATTTGAAAAAGAAGCTGGATTAACGTCGGTCTTAGCGATCTAAGAGTAATAACCAAGGACGACTGCTTGGGGACGGTCATGCATGACCTTCTTATGGTACGCGTTTCAAACAAATTTACTCCTGCAGATGGAAATCTGTAGAGTGAGGTGAGGTGTGACAATTTTATGATAGACGTTTTCAAAACTCTTCATTCCTTCACAAGAAGCAGCATCGCTGCAGATGCTGATTGTCTACTGTCACAGCCCTCTACAGTCAGGAGTATAAGTTCACCCACAGGCCTTAATTTACTGCTTCTAGTTTTACCGTTCTCCACCCGACCTGTCTGGCATGGCAGGACCTGAAGAGACAATTGTTCCAGCCAATATAGCTCGACTGAGTCATCACGATAGGCAAGCTCGACCACCACGTCAAGTTGGCAGTTGCGGTCGGGCAACTTAATCTGTGTTTGTTCTTTGGGTACGTTTAAGTGTCCATCAGTATCATATGGATTTTAACTCTTAGTTATCTAACAAGATTTTGAACCAGTAACCGGTATCAATCATTTTCAGTTTATAAGTGTGCATCTTAAATTTACACATGCTTCTGTACTGCTTCCGAGTTGAGTTTTACAGATAATTCTATAATTCCTAACACTCACTTCATTCAGATTCTTCACGAAGAATGAAAGTTGTGTTTTCAGTTTCGTTGAGATTATGAACTGATCCAAATTTGAACACCATTGAGACCCTGAAAGCACTAGACAGCCTTTTCGTCCTAGTACGGGACACCCCAGAAGCGCACACCCACGGCCTCGCACTCGAGAATTGAGTCTAACACCTTCAGGCCCACGCGCGGACGTCTGACTTCTAGACTTCTGAGTCAGAATTCATTCGTGCTAATGTCTAACTTCAATGAATCCACGATATTGCGTGACCACCTTCCATCGTCTACGGCAGTTAACCACCACATATGACGCAGTTTAGCTCCATTGGCGCTCACGGATTCTCACTAGAACTTCTGAAATTTTCTCTCGGGGTCAGTCACTAGTGAGAACATGATGATTGTTAGTATGGGGTTATGGGGATTGTTGGATCTCAGTCAAATCATGACCATGTTTTCAACAGTGGTTCGTGGTTTCGATGAAACTCAACAATTTCTAAAGCCACATATTGACATACATTTGAGGTTGCTTATTCCTACATAAGAGATAATCCGTTCTGCTATATCCTTGGTCATCTTGGTTCTGTTGAACATAAGGTTTTACAGCATATCAATTTAAGTTTCAGTTTTGTTTTGTTTTTGCATCTTGTCTTACTGTCGTGATAGTATCAGGATTTTCATGTTTTGTTCTTCATTTCGTGAAATCTATTTAGAGCTTTATTCATTACATTCAGATATTTTTGAAAATGTTGGACAATATTATCAGTTGTTAATTTTAACGTTCCGTAACCATCATACTTTGTTGTGCTTTAAGATTGTGTTTTCTCATAGTATCTTTTGTTTGCGAAAAATTACTAATTGATGGAGATTGCAATTTAGGACTTATTCGGAAAGATATGTAATTTCACGAGAGGCGTTTAAATTGATCACCTTATTCTTTAGTAAAGGATAGTCTTTCGTTATAATGTTGATGAACACAGCACTCGTTTGGTACTGACAATAGGGATCAGTAATCTCGATAATACTTCGTTTTTAGATCTCTCGTAACCAATTCTAATATTTTTTGCACTGCTAATAATTCGCAACTCTGACGTGAATACCAAGAAAAAACTACTTACATCCTCTTTTCTTTCCTGCCCCAGTGACCAGAGTGAAAACATCAGTTTTTGTAGATTAAGCTATTTCATTTTCGCCCAATATAATCATCCCGAAATACAATAAGTTTCATCAATTATATATCGTTAAAGAAATAATTAGAATACTTAAATTGAGTATTTGCCACTAATACAAAATATCGTAAAAATGATTTAAAACTCCATGTGTTCGCACTGAATAATTTGCCGTAATAGAATCTCAACCTAATTGATATTGGTTTGCTTCTCATAAGTTGTATTGAGGTTGAATATCGCTGGCCAAAGTTAGTCGTAGGATACTGGGTCGGTCAGTCAGTAACAACGTGGAACTTCGTATGTACGTATATCAGTTCGAGTTGCCATACCACATTAGCATAGAGATGCAGCTGTCGATTCAAATCCCGTAGTGGTAGAAGTAGTAAGAGTATAAGCAGTAATTGGAAAGATTAGGGTTTGTAGATGTTATTTAAAGAGTATAATCCAGTGAAATAAATTTGAGAGGAGAAAAAAAAGAGACAAGGAGGAATAAGGAGATCGAAATTTGGGAGAACACAAAGATTGGTTGCACCTGCGCCATTGCAAACGATTTTGAGCCATGTCATTCAGGGTCTCTAACCATCGGTTGCTGTCATCTCACGGTCCCCAACCAGGTAGTCTACACCTACCGACATGACTCAGTCCACTTGTCAGTGACTTCATAGACTTGTGCCATGTTTTGGTCTGGCCGCCCCTAGCTTTCTTCCAATCTACTCCTATACCACTGAACATCGAGGCATTTGGTGGTTGGGCATACGTAACACGTGTCCCAGCCATCTCAACTGATGAAGTTTCACTACTTCATCAGTCAATTTGCCATCCTTACCTAGTACCCGTTTCCCAACAACCGTATTACTTACTCGGTGGTCCCAGAATATACGAGCAATGCTTCGAAGACACCCATGATCAAATACTAGTAACCTACGAATATCCTCTACTATCACTGGCCATGTTTCACCGCCATACAGTAGGACGGAACGTCCTTTGATTGATAAACGGATATCTCGCCTACGCCATAAATGACGCAAGTTGGCAAAAGCTAGTCGAGCCTTCTGTATCCGTGCTGGGATTTCGTCACACACCAGACCACAAGGGCTGTTGAGACTTCCAAGATAAGTGAAGCGATCGACACGCTCAATTACTTCACTCCCTATCATTAGTTCTGGAGTCGATGTAACCCAATCCTGAAGCAACATTTTGCATTTCGAGGGGGAGAATCGCATCCCGAACATGCTTGCATTATTACTTAGAGTGGTCATAAGACTGCGTTTTGTCAGCGTCTTCACCAAGTAAAACTATGTCATCAGCATATTCTAAGTCAACAAGTGAACCTCCCGGTAGAAGTTCAACCCTTGGAAATTTAGACGAGGAAAGTGTTATCTCTAAAAGTACGTCGACGACAAATTTAAACAAAAATGGAGAGAGTGGACAGCCCTGACGAACACCACTTGAGGTAATCAATTGTGATGACAGTTCGCCATAAGCTCTCACTTGACCAGTTGTGTTCGAGTAGAGAGCCTTTACAAGGTTAATGTACTTCTTTGGTACTCCTTTCAGTGACAAACACTGCCATAGAACCTTACGATCGACAGAGTCGAATGCTGCTTTAAGGTCGAGGAATACTACGATTGTGGAGCGTCTGAACGTGTGTCTGTGTTCTAAAACCTGACATAGTGTGAATATGTGGTCTATACAACCACGTCCAGGTCGAAACCCAGCCTGATTTTCTCTAGTCTGCTCTTCACGAGCTTTAGTTAGGCGTCGAAGTATTATTGAAGCTAATATTCCAGATACTATATTAGTCAAACTGATTCCTCTGTGATTGTCACAAGAGGACTTTTGTCCTTTCTTATAGACTGGCACAATCAGTGATTGAGACCAGTCAGATAGGATTACGTCCAGTTCTCAAATCCTACCTAAGACCTCGGTTAATCTCATTGCTAATACTGGACCACCATCCTTAAAAATCTCAGGAGTAAACCTGTCAGGGCCTGCTGCTCTCCCTCGTTTCAGATTTCCTATGGCTTTTTCAACTTCGTAAAGGGACGGAGGACCTACATTAATTTGCCATTCAGGTTGACTAGAGATCGTGGGAAACCGAAGTGTGGCTGAAGGCCAGTCGAACTGATCCCTAAAGTGTTCTGCCCATCGATCCAATCTCCTGAATTGAGAACGTATAATATGTCTATCTTTCTCTGAGATTGTTTCGCTAACGGTCGGGTTTCTAATTCCGGTTTCCTTAACGAGTCTGAACAATTGTCTGCTATTACCTATTGCCGCTGCCTTTTCCATCTCTCTTGCTTTCGCTACCCACCACTGTTCACTATCATTGCGTAGACTTCTTGTCAGCTTGCGCTTAAGCTGACTCCGCTCCTCATTATGTTCAGAGCCAGGTGGAATGAGTTTCCGAGCATCTATCAGTGCGATAGATGCTGCTGAGATCCAGTGTTGCTCCCTAACCTTGTGGTTTACCTTACTAGCAGATATCACTGCTGTTTCCACAGCTTTTCGGATATCATTCCATGCTGCCTCAGGGTGGGCATCACATACATGGCTGCCTAACTGTTTTCCTAGTTGTTCCTGAAATATACTCTTAGCTTGACTATCATTAAGTAGGGCCCTAAGAGGTTTACTTGCAGCGTCTTTCAACGTCCAGTAAGACGCAGACAGATACGCGCTCGTACTAGAACATGATCTGAATCTAAGCATGTGCTCCA